CCAAGTTAGAGAATAAGAGTATTTGAAGACATGGAAAATATTTTACCAAGTCCTCCAAACCCAGATGACATCATTGCTCCAAAACCTTTTTCTGCATTTGCACCATATGGATCAATAAAAGCTACTTCTAATGTTCATAGAAGTGTAGTTTTTGACATAACAACTATTGCTTTTGCATGTTTAGAAGCTATCACTATGCTCATTAAAGCTGAAAGTCACATTGAGTGCATGTTTAAATCAACAGTCTGTAGTTTTGACAAAATCACGGTACACGGTAATACCATGATTTTTTCAAACTCGTCGTTATTCTAGAGATATAGTCGCATTAAAATGAAAGAGTTGCTACCAGCACTTTCAGATTTGCATTCCATGAACTGAGTTGAGGTGGGATGTCAGGGCTACATGGTTGAAGCAAAAGCAAGTGCTCATATTTTTTTCATTCTGCTAGAACTAGAGGTGTTCATGGTTCATGAACTAGATTGAACCGAACCATATTTATGGTTTGATTCAGTTCTCGATAATCATTTCAATAAAAATTCAGTTAACTGCTAAAATGGTTATTGTTCAATTAAAAACTAGTTTAGGACTAATTTATATTTATAAACTAGTTTATAATCAGTTTACAATTTTAAACCACTTGTATATTTTGAACTCTTTTAATACCAAATTTTTTAACTTCATAAAAATTTAAATTTTTTTATACTAAAAAAATATTCTTCATAATATTTATTTTCAATTTTTTTTTATATTTTGTATTTTCGAAAAAAAAATGTTTTTTCGTGTTTCCAAAAAAACTTGATTTTTTCATATTTTTTTAAAAAACTTGTTTTTCACATTTTCAAAAAAAATGATTTTTTGTATTTTCGAAAAAATATTGAATTTTCGTTTTTCAAAAAAACCCAACTTTTCGTATTTTTGGAAAAAAAAACCAATTTTTTTTTGTATTTCCATAAAAACTCGACATTTTCATATTTTCAAAAAAACTCGATTTTTTTATATTTTCGAAAAAACACGACTTTTTCTTATTTTTGAAAAACTCGACTTTTTCATGTTTTCGAAAAAAAATCGAATTTTCATATTTCTGAAAAAACGAATTTTTCATATTTCCGAAAAAACATGAATTTTTCATATTTCCGAAAAAAAACTCGACTTTTTCATATTTCCGAAAAAAACTCGACTTTTTTATATTTTCGGAAAAACTCGATTTTTTCATATTTCCGAAAACACTCTACTTTTTCATATTTCCGAAAAAACGACTTTTTCATATTTCTAGAAAAACTCGACATTTTCATATTTCCGGAAAAAAAAACTCTGCTTTTTCATATTCCTGGAAAAAATCGACATTTTCATATTTCTGAAAAATCGACTTTTTTATATTTCGAAAAAAATTCGACTTTTTCATATTTTCAGAAAAACTCGACTTTTTCATATTTATGAAAATACTCGACTTTTTCATGTTTCCAAAAAAAATCGATTTTTTCATATTTCTGAAAAAACTCGACTTTTTCATATTTCCGAAAAACTCGACTTTTTCATATTTTCAAAAAACTCGACTTTTTCATATTTCTGAGAAACTCGACTTGTTCATATTTCCGAAAAAACTCGACTTTTTCATATTTCCAAAACAAACTCAACTTTTTCATATTTCCAAAAAAAAAACTAGATTTTTTCATATTTTTGAAAAAAAATCGATTTTCTCATATTTCCGAAAAAACTTGACTTTTTCATATTTCTGAAAAAACTCGACTTTTTTATTTTTCCGAAAAAACTCTACTTTTTCATATTTCTAAAGAAACTCTATTTTTTCATATTTTCGAAAAAAAATTTTGACTTTTTCATATTTCCAAAAAACCTCGACTTTTTCATATTTTCGAAAAATCTCTACTTTTTCATATTTCCGAAAAAACTTGACTTTTTCATATTTCCGATAAAACTCAACTTTTTCATATTTCCGAAAAAAAAACTCGACTTTTTTATATTTCTGAAAAAACTCGACCTTTTTATATTTCTATAAAAACTAGACTTTTTCTTATTTCCGAAAAAAAACTCGATTTTTTCATATTTTCAAAAAAAAAATAATTAATTTATATAATTAAACCAGTTTATAAAAGAAAATTGGTTTTGAACCTCTTTTAAACTAAATTTGAATTGTTTTAATTAAATAGTTTAGTTTTTTTTATAGTGTAATGCAGTTCAATTCAAATATATAATTCAATTAACCAAATTTTTAAACACCTCTAACACCACCTTAGTTGATAATGTGCACACGGTCTCTGCAGCAGATGCACATCTTAGTTATAGCATGACAAATAACCCTTGAACATGGTTATGCTATGAAATTTATGTGTTACCTCATCATCACTCTCGAGTCAAGATAGAGAAGACACAAAGTGAGTGAAAACACAAAGTGAGTGATTGTTAGAGCTCTAATCATGGACGTGATTAAATCAGCTATATCAGAATCAGATGCAATTTTAACATCAATATTTGTTTTCTTCATCTCAACGTTAAGAATCCTCACTACAAAAACATCTTCATTTCTCAATCTTCAACCAGTTTCACTACCAGACCTATTTATCTCAACCATCCTAAACACAATAATCATCCTCACAATTTCTCAATCTTACCAGGCCTATTTATCTCAACCATCCTAAACACAATAATCATCCTCACAATAACTCTAATAGGAAGAATCTTAGGTGGTGCTAGCTTCAACCCTTCATCCACAATTTCCTTCTACACATTAGGACTAAGACCCGATTCATCTCTTCTATTAATGGCCATTAGAATTCCAACTCAAGAAATAAGCGGAGCTATCGGTATCAAATCCGTCCTTGATGTCATTGCCAAATGAATACCTACACATGGTGAAAGGTCCTTCTTTGAAGGTTGATTTGGATACAGGAGTTATAGCTGAAGGATTCTTTCCATTCACCATTAGTTACTTCCTCTATAATCAAGTGTGTTATCTTATCCGTGCAGACAAATATTTGCTATGTTAACTTCTTCTATATTTGTTGTGTTAACTTCTTCTATATTACCAGGATTCATCCACATATTTTTCGCATGCTGGTTTACACTTTTCTTTACTACAACCCAGTCGTTTTGGTAAAAACCTGCTGAAAAACCATATGGCCCTGGTGCTTTCCGTGCTCCCATACTAAACATGGCCTCCTTAATCTCCTCATTCTGAAATGGTGCCTTCAATGTATCAACTTCCTCTTGATTCATTCTTGGATATGTGAATATTGTTCGATACCAGCCACTTTGCATTGGTTTCTCATCAAATAAGTCTCTGTAATATAAGTTCATCAATGTTTTTAAGTCTTCCTCCTCGTCCATCCAATCTCCCTCGTTACTACGGAGCATTAGTATTTTGTTATTCCTTTTTAGAATGAGAGTTTTTAGATGATAATACCACGTGTTACAGTCACCATCTTGAATCCACGTAACCCAATATTTTTGGAACCAAGTATCTTCTTCCTCCTTTAGAATCACATTTAACTCTTGTTGCAACTCTCATTCCTTCTTATATAGAAATTTATTCGATTTCCCGTCATGTTGTTTCCTATATAGAAATTTATTTGATGTCCCTTCATGTTGTTTCCTCTAGATGCCATGCAGACATGCACTTAATTTTCTTTTACATTTTTGAATGTTTCCAAAGACACTATTTTTCCAGTCAGTAAACTCATACTCTGTTGCTTTCATATCACTAGATATCAAAACTTGCCTACTCCAATTCTTCTCACAAACTCTTTATAGCTCGAGTGTTTTACATCCAAGCTTTCTCAAATATGGATTTACGAGGTCCTTCCTTAACACACTTGATTATAGAGGAAATTGAATATTCAAAGTATCTACATATCTAGCTGGTTTGACCAAATTTAATTATGCTTGGAATTTCTGTTTCAGAAATATAAGTTGTGCATTTTATATTATCGATTTTTGTCTTTTTTTTCTCTCCCTATGTAGTGGTTTTGCTTCCATATTTTTTTTCATTCATCTTTTTCTTTTATTTGACTTTAAAGATGAGCACCAATCTCTCACATTCCAACATTGGTAGTGTGACTAAAGCACTGACTGACCTTATTATTGCTCAACCTTTTGTGCATAGTTCCATGTTTTTTTTGTCATTCATCCTTTACATAGTAAATTGAATGTGGTGTTTATTTATACGGACTACTTTTCTATTTGTTAAATTTTAAGTTATTTCTTATATATATATATATATATATATATATATATATATATATATATATATATATATATATATATATATATATATATATATATATATATATATATATATATATATATATATATATATATATATATATATATATATATTCTTAATTAGTGGATTTGATTTGATCTTTTGTTAAGAAAATTTAGTGAATTTTTAATGGATTAATAAACTGCTTTTATCCATTCATTAACAATCCAATTTATATTCATCCAATTCATCTATTTTATCACCCCTAATCAAGACCATAGAAAATAACATAAGAGCACTTGGTTGAGATGGCAGTCTTTGAGTTCGAATTCAACCTTTAGACATGCAATAATGTTAAATCTCTTGAGAGCGAGTTTTGCCATCCATTATAATCATCTTCGCCTCGAGAGTTAGTCTCTCCATGTGCATGCAGGATATCTAATTTATAAAATTAAAAATTAAAGAAAAATAATAATAATAAATAAATCAATAAATAAACTAGAGTACTTTATAAACATGTTTGCGCACAATGTAGATTATTCAGAGGACAAACAGAAGTACACTGAAATATTTCCTTTATTATTTACAGAACTGATTAACTAAAAACGAGTACCTTAAATACAGATGTCTTCTAAAACGGATTTGTCTTTGAGTTAAATAATTAAGTAAACAGACACATCCATCTTTGAATAATTTATAATAAAAAGCGGATACCTTATTCACTCACTTTGAAAAGAAAGAAATTCTCTATATAGATTTCAGAATAGACAGCACATTCCTTAGATTACGAGTTCTCTGCATCTAGAATACCCTGCAAGAACAACTTATCTGGTTACCAAAATGAAAACAGAAATACAATTATACACTGAAAATCATGAGGATGAATTGAATTGAACTGAATCACCACCACCTTGATGATCATAATGGCCGCTTCCTTGTGCAAAACCTCGTTATACTCATGACAAGCAAAGCTCTACAAAATATAACAACTATATCAAAACTGAATGCCAAAGATGGATACAATTTAATTCCTCAGAAAATGTTTGATCCAGACCTGAATACAATTAGGGCACCCCACTTCAGCCGAACAGCGGCAACCTGTGAGCACTTCTAGAGCAGCAGCCAGGAACTTTGTGAAGTGCGGTTGAGCCTATCAAACAAAATAATTATTATGAAACCAAAATGTTGCCATTGATTATCAACTGGGAAGATTGTTAAATCAAAAACAACTCTATTATAACATGTAATTGATATTTAAAAACAAAAGCATCATGTAAGTATTACAACAAGAGTTTTAGCATAATAGAAAGTTTGCTACATGAATCAATTGTGTCGTAATATGTTTTCACGTATTATCTACCTGTACTGAAATTCCAGACCCTCCGGGATGTTGATCATATATTAAGATTCTTTCAGGATAATATCGGCTGTCATGAGGATTCGGACACTCAGGAGCCAAATCGGACAAGTTGCACATTATATGTCTGCAAACACAGACATCTTTATATATATAAACATGATGAACAGAAATAACAGTTTGATCAACAGAAAAGAGGAACAGATTTAATTTCAGTCAAAATCCCAAACCATTATAGCAAGACAGCATGTAATACAGACTGTTAAAATTACAATTTTACTTTCCATGTTAACTTTGGTCAATAAAAGGTACAGAGTGCAGAAAAAGTTTCACATATTAAGTTTATAGTTCATACTCACTTCCGCACTACAACCACATATACTGGTGAAAAATCAAAGACAGGGGAGATCAGTGTAACTCATTAAAAAAGTTATGAGCTGAGTGTAAATCAGCGGGACCAAGGATAATTAGCACAATTTACTTTAAGAATGATATTAATGCTATGAATAACTCATATGAACTGATATGAAGGTAAATGCAAGAGAAAAGGGAAAAAAAATTACATAAGAGCTTAACATATGTAAAAGATAATGCGAACTATAACCAACAATCTACAGAACATGGTGGAAGGAACAAGGCTTCTCTATATCATGTTACTGATGCCAAAACTTTATGATTAACATTTATATGAAACTTACAAAGGCACTACGTGTAAAACAGCATGAGAAGCGGCATGCAAACCTCCTCGGAAATCATAATTTTGCTTGACCACTGCTTCTTTTATTGATTGTGGCACAGGAACCCAGACTGCCTTTTAACAGAGAAAGAGCACACTGAAGTTAAAACTGTTGAATATTAGCACAAAATCAAAACAGATTCTGTCATACAGCTCATTATGGCTGGATTCAAATTGTGATTAAATAGAAATTAATTGTATTATTATATTCTTACCTTATTTAGGATTAGCATTTATAGGGAGAATAATTACCCCTATTTCTTAGTGTAATTTATATTCTATAAATACTCATGTACTATGTTACAGAAAAACAATATAGAAAAATATTTCTATATGGTATCAGTAGCAACAAGAATCCTTTAGGGTTTTTTTGTTTTTGCTTCCGCTCTGTTTATCTTTTTTACATCCCACAATGTCTGATACCGAGTCCTCACTTTCACCCAAACATTCCTCACCCGAACCTAAATTAGTCCGAACGTACCATGAAAACCACCCTGTTCAGATCACAACAATTCGGCTGAACGGTGCTAATTATCTTCGATGGTCGCAATCCGTTCGTATGTATCTCAGGGGGAGAGGAAAGATTGGCTACATTACTGGCGACAAAAAACAACCAGACAAGGCAGGTGCAGATTATGATACATGGGATGCTGAAAACTCCATGGTCATGACATGGTTAGTCAACTCCATGGATGAAGAGATAGGTGCAAATTATCTCTGTTATGATACTGCAAAAGAACTTTGGGAAGGTGTCTCCCAAATGTACTCTGATTTGGAAAATCAATCCCAAATCTACGAATTAACTCTCAAATTGGGAGAAATTCGGCAAGGTGAAGATTCAGTCACCAAATACTTCAATTGTCTCAAACGTATTTGGCAAGATTTGGACCTTTTCAATGAGTATGAGTGGAAATCACCTGCCGATAGCAAACATTACAAGAAGATGGTGGATGTTAGTCGTGTTTTCAAGTTCCTTGCGGGTCTAAATGTTGATTTTGATGAGGTTCGTGGCCGAATTCTAGGCAGAAATCCTATCCCTCCAATTGGTGAAGTCTTTTCAGAAGTACGTCGCGAAGAGAGTCGTCGGCAAGTGATGCTTGGAAAAAATACAGCAGCTGTCCCTCCACCAGTTGAAGGATCTGCCTTGGCAATTCCCCATGTCAATCGTAAACCACTTCATAATCAACGAGGTGGAGACAAGACTCATTTATTTTGCGATTACTGTGGGCGCAATCGCCACACTCGGGAAACTTGCTACAAACTACATGGGCGACCAAATCATGGCAAGGCTGGTAAGTTTGGTGATCGTCCTATGCCTATGGCCAATGAGGCTGATTCGTCTCCATGTACGAAGGAGCAAATGGATAACCTTCTTAAGTTTCTAAAGTCCAATTCATCTCTTAATATCCCTACTGGAACTGTGGCACAAACAGGTAAGGATTCTTGGGCACTATCTGCTCACAACCACTCTAACCCTTGGATAATAGATTCAGGGGCATCTGAACACATGACTAATTGCTCTCATCTATTCAGTACCTATTTTCCTAGTTCAGGTTTTGAAAAAGTTAGGATAGCTGATGGTAGTTATTCAAGTATTGCAGGCAAAGGCAGCATAAAAATTTCAGAGCAAATCACTTTGCAATCTGTTTTACATGTTCCTAAATTCGCTTGTAATCTTCTATCTGTTCATAAATTGTCTAAGGACACTAATTGTTCTGTTCTTTTTCGTCCCTCTACTTGTGTTTTTCAGGACCAGAACTCGGGGAAGACGATTGGAACTGCTAGAGAGATGAATGGATTGTACTACCTTGATGGAATTCAGTTTGGCAATAAAACGTTTTTCGGTTCAAACAGTACAAACGCATCTCCTGTTTCAGATCAAATTATGTTATGGCATAAAAGATTAGGTCACCCTAGTTTTTCATATCTTAAGCATTTGTTTCCTATTTTTTCCAAAGAAATAAATTCCTCACAATTTCATTGTGAAGCTTGTCACTTAGCTAAAGATCATCGTGTGTCTTTTAAACCAAAAGCCTATTCTGCGTCTAAACCTTTTTATTTAATTCACAGTGATGTTTGGGGTCCTTCAAAAATTAAAACTATGTCTGGAAAAAAATGGTTTGTAACATTTATTGATGATCATACACGGCTGTGTTGGGTTTATCTCATGGAGAAAAAATCAGAAGTTGAACAAAGATTTCAAGATTTTTTTAACATGATTAACAATCAATTTCAAACTAAGATTGGCATTCTAAGGTCTGACAATGGCACTGAATATTTCAACAAATATTTAAGTACATTCCTTGTAACTAAGGGGATAATTCATCAATCCACTTGTCGCGATACTCCGCAGCAAAATGGTATTGCTGAAAGAAAAAATAGACATCTCCTCGAAGTCACTAGAGCTATTATGTTTTCTATGAATGTACCTAAGTATCTTTGGGGAAATGCTTTATTAACTGCTTGTCACCTCATCAATCGAATGCCATCTCGGGTGTTACAATATGAAAGTCCTGTACAAGTGTTACAAAACAATTTTCCTACATCTCGTATTATTACGGATCTTCCCCTTAAAATTTTTGGTTGTCTTTGTTATGTTTACATCCCCAATGTTTTTCGTTCTAAGTTGGATCCTAAAGCCGAAAAATGTGTTTTTCTTGGCTATGCTTCCAATAAAAAGGGATACAAATGTTTTAACCCAGTTACAAAGAAATTTTTTGAAAGCATGGATGTTCACTTTGTTGAAAATCAACCTTTTTTTAAAAATTCTCTTCAGGGGGAGAGTCAATGTAATAATAAAGAAGATAATTTTTGGGAAACTTTGCCTGCTCTAGATGATATTGTGACTACAAATCACCCAAATGCTAAGATAATAGAATCTGAAACAGGGGGAGAAACACTGATTAAGGATGATAATCCTGAACTTAAAGTGTATGTTCGAAAAAAATTCCACAAAGGTGGTGCAAACCCTATTGTCTCTCCAGTAGAAATCCAATCTGATTTACCAAGTGAAGGTCCTACAGATAATCTGTCTTCTAGTTCTTCATCTGGTAATCCTTCTTACTCATCCAATGATTTATCTGATTTGTCTTTTCCTGATATTAATCTTCCAATTTCTGTGAGAAAAAATATTCCTGACCTCGATGTCCCAATTGCTGAGAGGAAAGGTTCTCGTATGTGCACTAAACATCCTATGTCTAATTACTTGTCATATGACAAACTATCACACACCCATAAGGCATATGTGTCTAGGATTTCTAATTTGTTTGTGCCCAGAACTATTCAGGAAGCATTAAGTGATCCGAATTGGAAATTAGCAATGAAAGAAGAGATGGATGCTCTAAACAAAAATAACACTTGGAGTATCACTGATCTACCACAAGATAAAAAGGCAGTAGGGTGTAAGTGGGTCTTTACAGTGAAATGCAAGGCTGATGGAAGTGTGGAAAGATACAAAGCGAGATTAGTAGCAAAAGGATTTACTCAAACTCATGGTATTGATTACCAAGAGACTTTTGCCCCAGTTGCTAAGATCAATTCTATCAGAATTCTTCTTTCTCTTGCAGTAAATTTCAACTGGACACTATATCAATATGATGTTAAAAATGCCTTCTTGAATGGTGAATTACATGAAGAAGTATATATGAGTTTACCTCCTGGATTTGAAAAAAATCTTGGAAGAAACAAAGTATGCAGATTGAGAAAATCCCTATATGGATTGAAACAATCGCCAAGGGCCTGGTTTGAGAGATTTGGAAGTGTTGTTAAGAGACACGGTTTCACCCAAAGTCAAGCAGATCACACTATGTTCTTTAAACACTCATCTGAAGGTAAGATTGCTATCTTAATAGTGTATGTTGATGACATTATTATTACAGGAGATGACGTCAAAGCAATTAGTGATCTGAAGAGAAGACTTGAGGCTGAGTTCGATATCAAGGATCTTGGAAAGTTAAAATACTTTCTTGGGATGGAGTTCGCAAGATCTAAAGAAGGTATTTTTCTCAACCAGCGCAAGTACATACTCGATTTACTTGCAGAAACAGGGATGACAGGGTCTAAAGCAGTAGAAACACCAATGGATCCCAATGTGAAACTAAAGTCAGTTGCTGAAGATGAAATAGTAGATAAAGAACGTTATCAACGATTGGCTGGAAGACTAATTTATTTGTCACATACAAGGCCAGATATAGCCTTTGCAGTGAGTGTAATAAGCCAATTTATGCATGCACCAGGTGCAGCCCACTTTGAAGCTATTTTCAGAATATTAAGATATTTGAAAGGTACTCCGGGAAAGGGGCTGATATTCAGAAATAGAGGACATATACAGGTTGAAGCCTATACAGATGCTGATTGGGCAGGTAATATAAATGATAGAAGGTCTACCTCAGGATATTGTACTTTTGTAGGTGGAAATCTAGTTACATGGAGGAGCAAAAAACAAAATGTTGTAGCCAGGAGCAGTGCAGAAGCTGAATTCCGATCTGTGGCCCATGGTTTTTGTGAAGTATTATGGATCAAAAAGTTCATGGAAGAATTGAAGTTCTTTGGCCCAACTCCAATTAAAGTTTACTGCGATAATAAGGCTGCTATTTCTATTGCCCATAATCCTGTCCTACATGACAGGACGAAGCATGTTGAAGTGGACAAGCATTTCATCAAAGAAAAAATTGACAGCGGTGAGATTTGTATGTCCTACATACCTACCAAAAGTCAAGTAGCAGATGTTCTCACAAAGAGTCTTCCAAAGAGACTGTTTGATAACATGGTGTGCAAGCTTGCTATGAACGATATATTCATGCCAGCTTGAGGGGGAGTGTTGAATATTAGCACAAAATCAAAACAGATTCTGTCATACAGCTCATTATGGCTGGATTCAAATTGTGATTAAATAGAAATTAATTGTATTATTATATTCTTACCTTATTTAGGATTAGCATTTATAGGGAGAATAATTACCCCTATTTCTTAGTGTAATTTATATTCTATAAATACTCATGTACTATGTTACAGAAAAACAATATAGAAAAATATTTCTATAAAAACAAAGACATGTCATATACAGATAATAAAAAGAAAGCTTCCATTAAAGATCCCAACAGTGCCTAAGTTCACCTGTGACTTGTATGAGTACTGAGGAAGTGCTAGATCAACAGCATCAATGATTTGATTGCTTCCTTTCCGAATCCGATAAAATCCAAACCAAGTAGTTGTGACTTGGCATACATTAGCACGCACATTGGTTTTTGGAAACATGATGGAATTAATAACTGGATAAGCCTGGGAATAGGAAGGACATAAGTTCTCAAACGCCTTAACTTCACTAGCATTATCCATCAGATATCAGGTGAAAAGTTTTAAATTCGATGCATGAAGAGACTTTTCAGTGAATTTAAGGATAACATACCTGAAGGTTTTCTAGATTCTATTAAATGACAGAGCCTTAATTGGCTAGATTTTTATCGATTATACTTTTTAGCAGTTTTGGTGACATACTATTTCAGAAGTATATTTTTCCTAATTAGAATATGTAGGGCATGAATGCTAGCATTATATCGAGAATAAGACCCAAAGACAAAATTCCTGGTCATTTGAGTGTTACTAGCATTTTATGAGATTATTTGAAAATCAAACAACACTTCATACATTCTTTAATTCCATATTTCATCAAAGAACCATTCAAATTAAAATTGGTTGTCACTATTTTCAAGAGAAATAGGTTAAAACGATAACGCAAAGAACCTCTACAAAAATGAAGATCACATACAATATTACCCCCAATGACATGGATATCGGTGTAATCTCGAGTCTTTGTATAATACTTTAGATCAGCCTCTTTACAGAAAGCAGTTTTGCTAGATAGATCTAACTTTTCAACCAAATAGGTTTTCCCCTGGCGCAAGTACACTGCACCTTCGTATACCTGAATCAAGTACAGCATAAATACACAATAAATCTAGAAATTTAGCGGAGCCCGTTATTCATATAAGTAGAAGTCAATACCTGAAAGAAAGCCTTGCTTTCCTCTATCTCTTCTAGGACTTCATTCTTTTTCTGATCTATTACACTGTATCTAATAGTTTCTATTGCTCGGATATTGACTGCTTGCGAAGGTAATTTCTGGAGGGAACAAGGTTCCGTGAAAAACAAGAAAAAATTGTCATCCTACAATATTCAAATATTTTGAAGAGCTGACTAATAATAGCGAAGTAAACTACACCAGCAAGACATTAAACCTAACATGTTGATGAACTTCATGTACCTCAGGACCAATGTAGTTCCAAATTCTAGAAGAATCAGACAGATCAGGACATAAGTATCCTCTATCTTTTAGAGAATTCAAAACACTCTCTAAGCAAGCACCAAAATACTGCTCATCATACTGCACACTCAGAGGATGTTCATGAGCTGCGCAGACCAAATGCTGTTCAAGAACCTGGAGAGAGTCTGTTGTTATTAGCACAAACCGTTCCATTTGTTAAAAACAGTATAAATAATCTTAAAAATACTATTTTTAAACACTAAGAACCTGCTTGTTTTGAGTATCAATATGACAGCATTCGATTGGTCTTTCGAAAAGTTTTCTAGGATTTTTCATGAAGTATTGATCAAGTGGTCCACCAAATGCAACATATATAGCAAGAGATGGTCTATCTCTCCTCCCGCCCCTACCAGCTTGTTGCCACAAGCTAAAATACAAAATATTTATTGGAAAATAAAAGGAAATCAGACAACCACGCACACAAGAAGCTAAAAAGGACAGTTAAGAATATCAAAGAAAAAGGAAAAACACCTTGCAATACTACCAGGAAATCCTAGATGCAGAGTGACGTCAATTTCTCCAACATCAATGCCCAACTCAAGAGCATTGGTTGCAGCAACACCGTAAATTTTACCACCAAATAAAGCACTCTCTATTTTTCTTCTTTCCTGTCAATGTGAAGAAGCCAGTATTGAGCCCCATACCTTAATTACTGGAGAATCAAGTTGAGTTTACTCTTAATGAAATGGAATACTAAAAATATTTCCAATGATAAAAAAGAAGGCAAAGACCGAAAAACCGACAACATAAGGACCTCATTAGTGATAAAATCAGAGCATATTAGACACCTGTTCCTAGGATAATAATATTTTACCTCTGCCATTTCAAGTATCAGTTACATGAACATGGCATGCAGACAGATTGTATGCACACATAGAAGCGTGCGATTGCGCAAACACATAGAATGCAATAGTAGAAAAGATAGAGTCGGGTAAAATTGACCTCTGCAATGTAGCCACCACGATATGCACATATGGAATCCAGTAGATGCGGGGCTGTCTCGTGAAGAATCTCACGCCTGTCATTTTAAATCATTTCATTTCAATTGCAAGAGAACCTTCCTTTCTTAACAACTAAAAAGCCATTAACTTGAGCTCCAAAATGGATATCAGATATAACAAACAGAGTTTAGGAAAAAGTAAAACAAACAATTTTATCCCAACATCAACTCTATCAAACTACCCAAGTTGATGGAATTGAGTTTACATACGCATAGGATAAAACAAGCTCACAAAGCTTCCGTGATTTACAAAATGCAATGCAGCGAAGACCATGCTGAACCATTTCAGCAAGAAGGCGTGAAACATCCACAATAGGGCTGCATAAAGAACAAGGCACAATGCATTAAAACCTCAGATATGCAAGAATACAACAAACTGAGGAAATATGATAGAACCCGGAATTTTTAAGTGATGAAATAAATTTTATTGCCTGGAAATGGTGAGCCGCAAGCTCTTACAATGGTAGCAAACAGAAAATACAATGCATAAACCAGAGCTCTACGAACTCCTAAACCAGAGAGTAACTCTCCTAACAAACTTTCAAACAATATTTCTGAATATTCTTCAACTCCCCTTCCCTCTCTCTCTTATGACAGACATTTCTTAAAATTCAGGTAATATCTTAACTAACTCTTGATGGACTAAGGCCCAGACTCAGGGTCCTATCAAAATGTGTACATAAACTTAAACTTACTCAGTATCAAATTTTCAATTTTACACAGTTTCTTAAGTTGATTTGATGGTAAGCACTACATTCAATTTTACACGGTTTCTTAAAAATCAAGATCCTACCTATAGTTTAAATCATGGGATTGTACAACAGATTGTAGCATCGACAATATTCAAAACTATATATGTTGACACATACTGGAAACACTTGAGCTTGCTTAAAATTCAAAATGGGTCCCAACATGTCGCGGGCAGGAACTGTGTTTTCATTGATCAAAGCAGTCCAAAATAAGCCTGCTTGCATCAATTACATTGTTCCAAAATTTCATATTGTTATATATAGGGGGATTATTACCTTGAACGAACAAAATTGGTACTTTCATCTGCAAACACATCATTATCCATAGAAAACCGAGTTTTATTGAATATCTGCAGTCAAGTAGAAGCAGCATTTTGGTTTGTTAAAATATGTCTTCAGTTAGTCCTACTGTTTACCAGAGCTACATCGCTTAAATAAAACAACAGAACTCTAACTCACAGCTTTTGGTCGCAAAGCAGGATTCCAAAGGATGAAAAGTTTTCTTGCAGATGGACTTCCATCTTTCTGAAATAACTCTACTTTGGATAAATTTGCAAGTTCCTGGGACATAAAATTTATGGTTAGTGCAGCAGTATAGCAGTTTTGAGAAGATTACCAATCAAATATGTTAAGAGTCTCACATCGGACAATATATGACCTGAATATGTGTTTATATGTGTTTATAAGTGGGGGTAATCTTCACTCTACCAACCGGTTTTGTAGGGTTAAGTTAGGCTCAACCACATTTCTTAACATGGTATCTAGAGCCTACTAAGAGGCAATTCTTTCTTCGCCGTACTTTACCCGGTTGACCTACTGTCTTCCGGTGAGAAACTTTTTTTTTTGGCAAACCGTGTTGTCACTCCGGTTTGCCTCTCACTTTTAAAAATTCTCCGGTAACCGCCTTGCCGCCACAGCCGCCGTTACTGTTTCGGCACGACGTTTCAAAAAAACAACCCCACCATCCAACTCGCCGTCCTCCGATCTGGCCGTCGCCCTTTTTCCGCCGCTGCCCCAGCACGTCCGGCAGCTGATTCCGGCCGTTTTTCCGCCGGTCTACTCGCTTCTCTTCACCCATTCCAGATCTGACCTCTGTTTTACTGTCTTCGGTTATATGATCTGATATTGGGGTGGCACAAGGATTCTACTGTCATCGGTTATATGATCTGATATTGGGGTGGCACAAAACACGGTAGGAATCACGAAGAACCTTTGCAAAAGACTAGGAAATCTCTAAGAACTTGGTATAGTTTTCTTTCCCAGTAAAGCATTAACGTAATGAATTTTTCTTTCATTGTTGCTATTTATCCTGTATCTATTATTTGGTATCAAATATACTAATTAAAGAGGCTATGGATGGACACTACACGAGCTGCAATGTTAGCACAAGTGAATAGTTTAGAGAAGAATTTGGCCGATGCAGAAACAAAGGTCAAATGCAGCTGAATGAGATTAGAAACCTATGTAGAGACAAGTAGAGTGAGAATAGGAGACAGAGAGGGCCAAGGGAGCTAACTAGCCAGGACACGTCACCTCATTTGTAACTAACTAGCCAACAATACCCTTACTACCCTTCCTTCTAGAATATGCTTTCCAAACCTGTCCACTTGATCCATTGTGAACCAGCTGCTCATGTGGGCAATTCCTACTCAACTAGCTGGATCCTATCAAGTACCCTCCCCTCCAGTTCCAATCTTTTGATCCCCTCCCGATCTTATGTAAAGTTAGACTCTTGATTTTCACAACATTGTGCGTAATTGCATGTACTGACATGGTATGTGCCGTTACATTAATACGAGGACAGGGTGATTCATAATCATGTCACGAGATGCCATACAATTATTGAAAGGAGAATAAAACTATTTTTTTGCATCATCGTTGTCATGGTAGTCAGAATTGCGATCCAACTTTAAGATCGGACGATTTTCGATCTTGTAACGCCCCCCTCCATGCCGGAGTATGGCCGGAATCGTTTTATGATAGGCGCGGCAGGAATCGCCACAAAGACGCGTAGAAACGGCGGAACCGCCGAGAAAGCACGATTCTATTCACAACCCAGATATTCGGGTCCGCAATCAGTTTGCGGCCTGGATCCTGAAAATTACGACACAGTTCAGAAAAAAAACTGAAATTTAGTATGATGATATTCATTGAAACTAACTCAAAACAACTCGAACATCTAAAACAGTAGCAAATAACAATTTAAAACATCTAAAAGAACCAAACCAGAACAATAACAACACGACTGAAAAAACTTCATAACAGAAACCAAACAACTCTTATAGACCAGAACATGAAAACTTAATGATAATTTACTCAATTCCCAATTCATGTTGGAATTGGTCATAAATAATCACTCAAAGCATCATCAATTCCATGATCTGCATCTTCATTGTCTACTTCATAATCTCCTTCATCTTCATTTTCATCTCTGCCTCCATCATGTCCATCTTCCAAATTATGAACAAGAATATCATCCTCTTCAATTTGTTCTTGATTCACTTGAACAAAATCTTCATTCAAAATTTAAGTGTCGCCATCTTCATCCATAAGCTAATCATCGTCAGATCCAAGGTCATTAAACTCCATCTCAAGTGTTTTTTCCCTTTCTTTTTTTTTTTCCAATGTTGAATTAGCCATGACAAATACAACATCATTCATCAAGTGTTTTGTAGTGAGTACAATAAGACGGAACTGAATAGAGAAGATAGAGAAGTGAAATAGGAGGCAATTGAGTATTTATGGTAAGAAAACGTGAGACAGGAGTGAGGATATGAATATGGTATGTTCCACTAATTATGGAAGTGTATTGGGAATGTTAAGAAATGTGGTTGGATCTAACTCAACCATACAAAACCGGCTTATAAGGTGACAATTGTCTCCAATTATAAAGACATGTTCAGGCCATATATTGTTTGATGTGAGACTTGTAACACACCCCCTCACACCCAGGACTGGACATCTGGAGTGTGGAAATAAATGGCGGGTGGCTCGATAGTAGAAACCTAATAGTAGGTGGTCCACCGAATCTTAAACGAGACTCTGATATCATATTAAGAAATGTGGTGTTCCACAAATTATTGATTAGTGGATGGGGTGGGTATTAATTATTTATTTTAATTAGGCAGAATAATCATTTCAATATGGAAGTGTTCCACTAACCTTGATCTTGTTCTTTATGGCATACAGCACTTGCATTTCAACTTTAATGCTTCTATTCAAAAATAATCCGAGAGATTTTAAGGTTTCTTTTCTGAACCGACTAGTAATTTTCAGGATCTGGGTCATGAACCTGAATTTCTAAGTTGTGAACATAATTGTGCTTTCACAGCAATTCCACCGTTTCTACACGTTTTCTCGGTGATTTCGGCTGCGCCTACCAAAAAATGATTTCGGTCATACTCCTGCACGGAGAGGGGTTACAAGATCGCATAACCGTCCGATCCTATGAGTTGGATCGCGATTCTGACTACCATGCCTGTAGTGTGACTCATATGCCAATTGCCTGCCCCATACTCAATTTTTGTATGCAAAAATAATTAGTGGTCAAGGGGAGAGAGCAATCAAAAGTTAGTGAGCTGATTAACAGAAATTAAAATTAAAAAGAGAATATAGCACAGAGCAAATACAGTTTACGGAAAATGACGGAAGAAGAGGGGCTTGACCCATATCTATTAGAATTACACATCGAAAGAGAAATCTCAATTGAGTTTCTCTTCTTTTCGATTTTGTATTAACTGATTATGAATATTATGAATTACAAGGAGTGTGCTTTATTTGTAGACTCACAAGACTAACTAAATTTATTTGTGAGTTTCTAGATTTTAGGGATTAGCTAGGCTTAATAAGTATATTGTGCAGCTAGTGTACAATAGTTACAGTGGTACTAAAGTCAGTTTCTGTAATAATATCTCTGAATTTAGCTTTAGAGCGAACAAGAGTAATACAATGTAGAATTTTTTGCTATGAAGATTTTGAGAAATGATAAGTATAGGGGTGCCATGCCAAGGTTCTAGAACTTATTAAAGTCAGTTCCTTTAACAATACTCTGAATTTAGCTTTAGATCCAACAAGAGTAATATGATATAGAACTTTTTGTTATGATAATTTTGAGAAAAGATAAGGATTTCCAACTACGTGATCTCTGAAACACCAACATCCAAGATCTAATAGAAGACAAGTAAGAGAAACAAAAGAGAGATTCAAAACTTGGCAGATTATAATACAACAGGGCAAAAGAGAGATTATAACAAGACTCTAAAAGTAATACGAAGAGAAAAATTGGGAGTGAAAAGATATGGTCGGAATTTGTGTACAGCTAAAAAGAATTGAGTTCTAACTCTTGGTAGGTTCAAATTTTGGCGAACTCAACAGATAAACATGAACTGGTCAGATCTTGAAGAATGGTAATGATTTAAATATGCAGTTGATCATGGCGATGGTCAAATTGAGGTATTTTCCTAAAAAGTTGAGTCCTAGGTGCATCCCGTTTTCAATGTGTCATTGTTGAAGAAATCTCTAACTATCGAGGTTATCCATCAACCCTTTCCTCCATACTTCGTAGCTGATTGGCAATAAAGGTGCCACTAGCTGCAACACTTACAATCTGAACTAAAGTTCTTATCAGGTGGAAAATAATGCTCAACGTTGAAAAATCTTTGGGAACTTGCTTAGATTACACAATCAGATTTCTATTTCCATATTGAGGACAAGGACTGTGTCTTTAGAGGGGTTGGGGGTAGTGGTGGAGTAGATGTGTTGAGATTTGTCTAGAACCATTGGGAGAGATTAGGCAGGCACTTCCTAATTGCTTTGGCTATTTTCTTTCTCTACATTGTATTCATTTTCTTTCCATTTTCCAGATTCAGACCCTGTTATCACTCATCAGTTTCATACATGTCTAGGACCTGTATTAATACAATGAATTTTCACTCTTAGTATTACTATTTATCTGGTGCCTATTTATGAGAGACGAAGACTCTTGAATTTCTCGGATAAGAATTGCCTTGGAACCATATACTTTCCCTTTCCTTAATTTATGTTATTTTCTAGTTGCTCTATTGTAAAAGAACTCGTCTTCCATTTCTGAGAAGGCAGTGCAGAGATAGTTGCAATTAAAATTGTTGTTTTCATTTAAATTTATCAACATAGATACCAGTTTCGATATCAGCATAAATTTATCAGCATAGATACCAGTTTCGATATCAGCATAAATTTATCAGCATAGAATACTAAGTGTATAAAAAAGTTACTATTTCAGAGAAATATTTACCATAGAATGCTCATGAGGATTCGCAGAAGTAGCTGTAGAGAATATAAAAGATGGAACAGCTCCATATACTGCAATTAGAATGGAGACAAACTGCATTCACATTTCAATTTAAAATTTAAATAGAAGTATAGAACAATATGTTAATCAGGAAATAATGAAACGCATTTATTGTGAATAATTTACATTCATAGAATAGGTAATTAGTCATTATGAGTTGTAATTAGTCATTATGAGTTGTAATTACCGACACTATTATATATAGTAGGAAATGCAATGAGAAAGGCACAAAGCCAGAATTTGTGACATGGTATCAGAGGGATTGATCTAACCTGTGAATCCTTGTTCTCTTGGCTGAATAACGACACCCTACTGGGTCGCTCTTAAAATCGTGTTTCTTGTTTGGATTCCTCGAAACCGTGTTTCTTGAAATCGTGTTTCTTGTTTGGATTTCTCGACATCCCACTTCGGTGATCGTTAATCATTTGGTGCTGCTAGCATATTGTGATTTACGATTCTGTTCTGTATTCTCGGCGATTCTGCTTGGTGATTATTGTTCTTGGTGATTCGGTTCGGTGATCGTGGTTTCATTGGTAGACCATTGGCAATTCTCGATCAAGGTTTCATTTTCTCGCTCGTGGGTGTCTCTTCGCCGTTCGTTAGTGCTACTGTGTGGGTTTTCTAATTTGCCTTTTTTTTCTATTTATTTAATTGTTATTATTAAATAAATTTAAAAAAAAAACAGCAAAAAGGCTTTTTGTTGCTCGTGAATATTGGATCTGGAATTGTCTTGTTATTTAACAAACAAGGGGTTATAATATAATGGCTATGGAAAATGAAAAGAATTTTTGTGTCCGTTTTACCGGCAAGAATTATTCTGCATGGGAATTTCAGTTTAAGATGTATGTCAAAGGAAAGGGATTATGGAGCCATCTAGATGATGTTTCTAAGGCACCGACGGAGAAAACTGCTTTAGATGCGTGGGAAACTAAAGATGCTCAAATCATCACTTGGATTCTCCACAGTATTGATCATCAGATGATTAATAATTTACGCTCTTTTTCAACTGCTCAAGAAATGTGGAATTATTTGAAGCGCATTTACAACCAGGACAATTCGGCAAAACGTTTTCAGTTGGAGTTAGAAATAGCCAACTACAAACAAGGTGATTTGTCTATTCAAGAATACTATTCTGGTTTTTTAAATCTCTGGGCAGAACACTCTGCTATTATACATGCTAATGTTCCCAAGACCTCTCTCGCGGTTGTTCAAGAGGTTTACAACACAAGTGGGCGAGATCAATTTCTCATGAAATTACGTCCAGAATTTGAGGTTGTCAGAGGTGCCTTGCTGAATAGGAATCCTGTACCTTCTTTAGATACATGTGTTGGAGAACTTCTAAGGGAGGAACAACGTCTCATTACCCAAGGAACCATGTCTCATGATGCTACCATTTCCGAGCCCGTGACGGTTGCATATGCTGCTCAAAGTAAAGGTAAAAGTCGTGATACGAGACATGTTCAGTGCTTCTCTTGCAAACAATTTGGTCATATTGCTCGTAGCTGCAATAAGAAGTTTTGTAATTACTGCAAGCAACAGGGTCATATTATCTCTGAGTGTCCCACACGTCCTCCACGACCAACACAACGTCCAGTGCAGGCATTCCATGCAACTACAAATCATGCAGTCGGTCCTTCCACTAATGGGGCATCAAACAATAGTGCTATACAACCTGAAATTATTCAACAAATGGTACTTTCCGCTCTTTCGGCCTTGGGAATTCAGAGTAAGTCTTTTAATGTTTCTCGCCCATGGTTTCTTGATTCGGGTGCATCCAATCACATGACAGGTTCTTCAGAGTACTTGCACAATTTACACTCTTATCATGGTAATCAGAAAATTCAAATAGCTGATGGTAATACTTTATCTATTACTGATATTGGCGACATAAACTCTGATTTTCGGGACGTGTTTGTATCACCTGGACTTGCGTCTAATTTATTATCTGTTGGTCAATTGGTAGATAAAAATTATGACGTTAACTTTTCTCGTGATGGTTGTCTTGTGCAAGAGTAGGTGTCGGGGAAGGTGATCGCGAAGGGGCCTAAAGTGGGAAGACTGTTTCCACTCCAATTTATTTCTAATCATATATCTCTTGTTTGTAATAATGTTTTGAACTCTTATGAAGATTGGCATAGAAAATTAGGTCATCCAAACTCTGTTGTTTTGTCCCATTTATTTAAAAATGGTTTGTTGGGAAATAAAAATGTTTCTAATGCCTCTATTTCATGTTCGGTTTGCAAATTGGCTAAGAGTAAAACACTTCCTTTTCCGTCTGGTGCTTATCGTGCTTCCACTTGTTTTGAAATGATTCATAGTGATGTATGGGGTATGTCTCCGGTAGTTTCTCATTCTCACTATAAATATTTTGTCACATTTATTGATGATTATAGTCGTTTTGTTTGGATATATTTCCTTCGGTCTAAATCTGATGTGTTTTCTATGTTTAAGAAATTTTTGATATATGTTGAAACTCAATTTCAAGCAAGTGTTAAAATTTTTCGCTCTGACTCTGGTGGTGAGTACATGTCTCATAAGTTTCAGGAATACCTTCAACAAAAAGGCATCATGTCGCAACGATCTTGTCCTAATACCCCTCAACAAAATGGTGTGGCAGAACGTAAGAATCGTCACTTACTTGATGTAACACGCACATTGCTTCTCCAAGCTTCTGTACCACCCCGATTTTGGGTAGAGGCTCTTTCCACAGCTGTCTTCTTGATCAACCGTCTTCCTTCTACGGTTATTGAACTTGATTCTCCTTTCTTTCGTCTTTTTAAAATTCATCCTGATTATAGTGCTTTACATACTTTTGGGTGTGTGTGTTTTGTTCACTTACCTCCTTTTGAAAGGCATAAGCTTGGAGCACAATCCGTTCAATGTGCATTTATGGGATATAGTCACTCTCATAAGGGATTTGTGTGTTATGATGTCACTAACCATCGTTTTCGCATTTCTAGAAATGTGACATTTTTTGATAATCAGTTTATGTTTTCCTGTGTTTCTCCTGCCGATAATGATATTGTTACTCTTCCTAAGTTTTCTATTATGCCTCAATCTATTGAACGTTATAAACCAGGTCATGTATATGTCAGAAAACACAGACAACAGGTTCCCACACCCTTTCTCGACGTTGGACCGCCACCTGATCCTGTACCGGTTGAACCCCGACGTTCTGGTCGAATATCTCGTGCACCAGATAGATATTCACCAGACAGGTATGATTCCTCACATACTTCTATGACTGCCACACTCTCTAGCATATCTATTCCTACTTGTTACTCACAGGCTGTTAAGGATGTGCGCTGGATAAAAGCAATGAATGAAGAGCTTTAAGCTCTTCAAGAAAATTTCACATGGGATATTGTCTCTTGCTCTCCTGATGTAAAACCTATAGGTTGCAAATGGGTGTATTCTGTGAAATTGAATTCTGATGGGTCCCTCAACCGTTACAAGGCTCGTTTGGTTGCGTTAGGAAACAAGCAGGAATATGGAATTGATTATGATGAAACATTTGCACCGGTTGCCAAAATGACAACTGTCCGCACGATCATATCTATAGCTGCTTCTAGTGGATGGACTCTTTATCAAATGGATGTGAAGAATGCTTTTCTTCATGGTGACCTGACAGAAGATATTTATATGACTCCACCTCAAGGCTTATTCTCTTCATCTAAAGGCGTGTGTAAGCTCAACCGCTCCTTATATGGTTTGAAACAGGCACCTAGAGCATGGTACGAGAAATTTCGCTCCACTCTGCTTGGATTCTCCTTTACTCAGAGTCAATATGATTCATCTTTATTTATTCATAGCACATCTGCGGGTATTGTTCTGCTTCTTTTGTATGTTGATGATATGGTTATTACTGGTTCGGATCATGCTTCCATTCAGCGACTTAAGCAACAGTTACAAGCCTCATTTCACATGAAAGATTTGGGTAACCTACATTATTTTCTTGGTCTTGAGGTTCATTCTACATCCAAGGGAATTTTTCTCCATCAACACAAGTATGTTACAGATTTGATTTCTATAGCCGGTCTCGATTTGGCTAATCCGGTAGATACTCCTCTTGAGGTTAATGTTAAATACCAGCGTGATGATGGTGATCTTTTGCCTGATCCCTTATTGTATCGACAACTTGTGGGTAGCCTCAACTACTTGACTATTACTCGCTCTGACATATCTTTTGCTGTTCAACAAGTAAGTCAATTCATGCATTCTCCTCGCCATCTTCACTTGGCTGCGGTTCGTCGTATAATTCGCTACTTAAAGGGAACCTCTCACCGCGGATTATTCTTTTCCGTTGGAATTTCTCTTCAGTTGAGTGCTTATAGTGATGCTGATTGGGCAGGGTGTCCGGATACTCGTCGATCTGTTACTGGTTGGTGCATATTTCTTGGTTCTTCATTGATCTCTTGAAAAAGTAAGAAACAAGCAAGAGTTTCTAAATCTTCTACTGAATCAGAGTATCGTGCCATGTCTGCTGCTTGTTCAGAAATACTTTGGCTTCGTGGTCTTTTGGCTGAACTTGGATTTCCCCAAACAGAGTCAACTTCACTCTATGCTGACAATACAAGTGCCATTCAAATTGTTGCAAATCTTGTTTTTCATGAACGCACCAAACATATTGAAGTTGATTGTCATTCAATACGTGACGCCTACGATGATCGAATAATATCACTTCCTCATGTCAGTACTCAGTTGCAGGTTGCAGATATTCTTACCAAGGCTGTTCCACGCCCACGACATCAGTTTCTTGTCAGCAAATTGATGCTCCTTGACCAGCCGCATCAATTTGAGGGGGGATGTTAATCAGGAAATAATGAAACGCATTTATTGTAAATAATTTACATTCATAGAATAGGAAATTAGTTATTATGAGTTGTAATTAGTCATTATGAGTTGTAATTAGTCATTATGAGTTGTAATTACCGACACTATTATATATAATAGGAAATGCAATGAGAAAGGCACAAAGCCAGATTTGTGACACAATAAATATGAAGACAATTCCTGAAGCTCCACAAACCATGTGAGCAGAGTCGCCTAAGCCTCCTTAATATAAGAGCAGTATGACATCCAAATGCTCCCTTGTAGGTATGAGTTTCATCAATTACCAGAAACCTAATAGGTTAAGAGTGAGTATATTCTCCGCAATAACAATCCATTAAGAAATATTCCATATAAAAACCGAACTAATTTAGTTTTGATAATCTGATTAAATTTACCCGAGACTACCTTAGATTTGATAAAATCCGGCCAAATAGCCGATGGTGGGGCAAGATTGATATGTGTAGCATATCTGGATTTGTGATTAACTGCAGTATATATAACATAAAATGAAGCAATTTGTCACCATAATTTGTCCAGTCTAAAGAAGAAATAAGCTGATACTTATTAGATTACCAGTCTAGAATTATCACGTAGCCATGTCCTTTCGCTATGAGAAGTGTCACCATCATATATACCAATATTTAAGTCGACATCAAATTCTTTTGTCATGTGTAACAAAGACCTTAGTTGATCTTGAGCTAACGCCTACAAGCATGGAATAATTTAGTTATAATTACAACAACCTCTGGGCAAAAAATAGTGAGGGAGAGGAGACAGGGAGTGTATGACTATCTCCAAGCACTTAGAATTTAGAATAGGAAATTAATTAACAGACTGAAAACAAACCTTTGTTGGAAATATGTACAACGCACATGAGGATGAATTCTTAAGCAACTCTTCTAGAACAGGCAGGTTGTAGCAAACAGATTTGCCACTAGATGTCATTGTAGCCACAACAACATTCTTCCCGGCAAGGGAGGCTTGAATAGACTCTGCCTATGTAAACCATGCAGCAAAAAATACTTTAGAAACTATAATCTACAGAGGCACATTTTACATATTCAACTCATACCTGATGATTATACAATTTGGAAACTCCAATATTATCTAGTGCAGATCTCATTTTTTCTGATAGTTCAGCTGGGATCTCACTGTAAATGGCTTTTCTGGCACATATATCTTCAATATGCACAATCTACATTAACCACACATTCATAATTTAGTGATATAAAGAACATCGAGTTGGATTATAAATTGTTAGAATTGTTGTAAATAAGATAATTATGTACTTCAAAAAATTAGAGAAATTATAGTGGTTGTAATCAAGACTCCATACATATTATTATTATTCGCTGGTGTCTAATTGAGACGAACAGATTCACTCAAACATTTTCTCGTTTTCACCTTCTCAATATTGTATTGTAAGCCCGGTCAGAAACTCTATTCTGTGTGCCCACCCAGCGAACCCAAGGTCCATGAGAGGACGGACACATTTAGATAGATTTCCATTTCATTAAGGAGAAGTCCTAATGGGAGACATAATGAAAAGCTTTGTAATTTTAAATTATCAACCAACAGATGTCCTTACTAAGTCATTGAGGTCCTCAGATTTATTATAAGTCTAACAAGGTTGGTGCATATAATTTATACACTCCATTTTGAGGAAGAGCATAAAAAATGTTGTAAATAGGGTTGCTATGCTAATACAAAAAATTTAGGATATTATATATTGCGTCTGTTGTATATATTATATGTGTGTGTATTATCCAGTGTGTAATTGAGACACGCAGATTAATTCAAATGTTTTCTCGTATTCGTTTTCAAACATAAACATTATTGGTTATATATTTTACAATAGATTATTGGCACCAAATCCAGCTAATCATGGGAAATTAAGGATTTCATATATTATACTTCCAAAAGCACAAAACATTGATCACAGTAAAAAAGAGAAAACCTGTCCTTCAGATCCAATTCCTTTCTTAAGATGTTCAACCATGTCCACAGCCATTAATGACCTTGTGTCCTGCCAAGCCAAGAATTAAGTGATATGAACTAGCACTGTACATTCTACCGTAAAAGCATAATTTAAACATCTATGAATTGCAGCAGAAAAGTATGTACAGCTCAAGCAACACGGAGAAAAGAAGCTTAAATGTATGGTTGAATTATTTTTCTCATAATTCATATATTAGTTTCCCAGCGGTATAATTAACATGCAACAATTGCTCACACCCATATCTTTAAAGATCGACCAAATATATATATCAGAGGCTTCACTAGCCTATAAAGCACATGTATGAACTCAAGAGGCTTGAATTTTGAATTCTTACCCCAGCCGTGTTATTTTGGCTTGAATTGGGTAATGATTACAAAACAAGTTGACCAATAAAGAAAAAGGGAAAAGATGCACTATCATGGTATGGACTGCAAATCGACAAAAATAATTGCAGCCAAACCTTTGAATTAGTAAAAAAATAGCTATAGACTTAAAATATAAAAACCAACATTTTATTTTCCTCTAATGCTCTTTATCTTTAAGTTCTATGATAAGCTTTCATTACTAGATTATATACATAGAACCAAAAAAATTAAAATGAAGTTTGTCATAAGATGAATACACACATGACACCTAATGCGGTCCATGTCAGGTCTTGAGGAAGTTGAGCTTCTCTTTACACGTTTTGATTTGTTTTCTTTCCGGGTAAAATCACGGTCCTTGACTGCGGCAAGCAGTTCTTCAAAGGAAATTCTCACGTTCATCTCATCTCCAATTTCAAACTGCAAATAAGATTGATGGCAATGCACGTTATACAATACCTTAAAGATTACTGACATGAGCAGATTATTAGATCGTATGTTTTTATGTTTTATTTTAGTCAGTTATATTTGAATTTAACACATTGTTCTTTATATAAAGTAGTCACACTGATATAACTAGCATGTTACTTTATAACGAGCTCTGCACAAAAGTTTATTCGAGCCTTCAAAAACTCAGCTAACTTTAGTAAATGTTCATAAACCTAGTATAAATAGTCCTAGTCATTTGAACATGCACTTAGAATCTTTCAGTTGTCATATCTTATCACAATTTCAAATCCAAGTGGTTTTAAACCCCTCTTTTATCTATCCACTTCAATTTATCAAGTTCAGTTCTTCCCAGATTTCATGGTTTAGGAAAGAACTTTGTATGTCACCCATAACTTCGGTTATAAAAATCAACTACCATACTGATGAAATCCTACTAAACAATTATACAAAGCCTTTTCTTTGCCAGTGAAAGTTGTAAATTTATAAATGTTAACAGTTATTATAATAAGATTTTACAATAAGACCCTAGTATGAATGAGTCTACAATCTACCAATCATATTGGTTGATCTAAAAAGATAAGTACCTGAAACTGTTCAAAAGCCCACCCGAGACATTCACGAAAAGAACGGTCCCTTCTCTTTAATGTATTGACAATCTTTGAAACATAGAGCGACTTGCGAGCTATTAAACCGAACATGTCAAGAAAATTAGAAAGAGAAAAAAAGCATCCTTATGAAAAAGAATATGACTGAATTTTGCAAAACAACAATACACATCTTAGATATACCTCTTTTCAGATTATCTTCAATTTGATCTTCATTGTTACTAGAATGGGTTACTACAACAATGACATCGCCAAAACTTGCCTTCTCTATGTCATCTACAAAACAAACTAGCTGCAAAGGATTCAATCCATAATTTAGAGCACATAATAAAAACCTACAAATATGTTGTTTCATAGAAAAGTGTTATTAGTTATTACTCCTAACTTATGAAGCTAAGACTCTGACACGGACACCAAGACACGAGATGACATATACTCCTACACCGATAATGTAAAAAACATGGGACACCGACACCGCTACATATATGATAGTATTTGACCTTCATTTATCCAAGTGTTATTGAAAGAGTTAAAAATATTCTAATCAAAATTAATGTCTTCAATTTTACATTGATAACATTGCTTCAATACATGTTTAACCATTTTAGATGTCTTAGATTTATTCAAAAAATGTATAAGGTGTGTTGACACATGTCGTATAAGCGTCATTCAGGTGTTGGACATCGATTCAATAAGTGTCGAAGCAGAGGAAAAAAAAACTATTTTTTAAGACACTTGTTTGACTTTTCTAACACTTGTCTGATTTTTTGAAACATGTGTCATACAAGTGTCATAGGCATATTGAATACCACAACACGCCTACTGCTAGAAGTATTCATGCTTTATAACTCCTAAGGCCTTACCTATAGTTTATACTATATTAGGCATACCACACATCTCAAAATGAATCAAAAGCTGACTATAAGCATGTACACCATATAATTTTTTAAATTAAAAAGAGTAACCTTCACAAACAAACAAACAAAAAAAACAATATAAAAAACATTAAGATAAATCAACCAATTTACATGAGGACAGAGAAGGGAGAGATGCTTCATGTCATGGAGACCAAGTTTGACTCCAAACTTGGCAAGTTGATCAAGTGCTTGTTCCAGTAAACCCGTGGTTACCTTCCTACCCTGCAAATGAAGAAAGGCAGAAAAGATATTCATGAAAGCAAACGACTTCACAACTATCTTCAACCACTGTGGACACAAGCAAGTGACTCCACCACCATCATTGTCACAAGATCCCTTCAAACATGCCCTCTTGAACAACTGGCAATGTCCAAGAGGCAAATCAGATAAACAATTCACCGAGTCCAAAACCTTCGAAAAAACCTCACAATTACGCTCTCCGAGAGCACACTCATTAGTACAATCCAATGTATTCAATATGTGATGATAAGGAAGCTCTATCCCCTTTTCAGCCTCCACAGTTTTCTCTTTATTTTTTTCAAACTTAGATACATTATTAGGGTCAATTTCTGACAAATCTTCCATTATATTGGACCATGTCGTATCCGCAAGATTCGATGTTGAAGCATTGCAAGCAACATTTGGAGAAGAGAAAGCTGAATTTGGTTTCTCTGTTGAAGTAGTTTTCTTCTTGGCGAACGGAACCAAAACGAGAAACTCACCGCCTTGGGTGAGATAAGAACCAACTTCATCATGTAATTGCAATTTATTACCCTGAAACCAAAAATGCGTGAAGATTTCGCATTATTATAGCATGCAAAGTTAAACTAAAATGATAATGTCTCTATAATACTACTGTATGAATTACAAACATGTGAAGTTCATAAAGAATGACGAAAAAGAGTAAAACTGATGGAATGAAATTTGAAGAGAGAGTACCTTGAAAAAAAGATGGAAATTGGGGGAATTGGTGGCGGGAGAGAAAGAGTGGTTGAGTAGAAGCTTGAGGTGTTGGACGGTGGCAGTGGGAGTGATGTGAAGAGTGATAGACTCGCCAGTTAGGGTTCGGATTTGGATTTCCTTCTCGTTGCTGTCTGCCATTGATGGCCTGGAACTGCGTGGGAAACGTTCTCGGCGCTTGTTCGTTTTCTTTTTCTATGCCATTTTCTTTACTGTTCAAACAAAAAATTTCAACAATACTCGCTCCTCTTTCTTTAGTTATAAAAAGAGAAAATCTTATAGTAGTATAAGTTATTTTTTAAATTATTAACCAAAATTAATGGTGACTTAAATAATGATTAACTATTCATGTTGAAATATGAAAAATAAGTATTAAATTCATGAGAGAGGGGTAAATTTAAGTTTAATTTTAACTTATATAGTATCATTTTTATTTAAATAAGTATTTTTTGTATTTATTTAAATTTTTGTATTTTATTTATAATAATGTTATTTTGTTTACATTTTAGTAAGGAATGATGCTCTTTTTCGTTTTGATTAGATGTTTATTTGATTTAGATTAATTGATTATTTTCAATTTAAATTTAAGATATATTCAATTAATAACTTTTACGTTATCAACCGATCTAGAAGAATTGATGTTTTTGAATATTTATTTTGTCATCGTTTATGTAAATAATTTTTTATTTTATGTTATTAATTCAAATATTGTTTATTTATTTGTAATTTTATTTTTTTTTATGTATTTAGTAAGTTGTTATATATATATATATATATATATATATATATATATATATATATTGGACTAATCCAATGGTTAGGCATAACCCAATTCACTTCTGCACCCAGAACGGTCCAATAGTCTAGGTCCGCCCAGTTGAGGGTAAAGGAAAGCAATTTCTCTTCTGCCCCTCAACCGAGGAGATTTGGTCAGCTGACCCCCAAGATTAGTTGCCTTTCATTCCATCTCTGTTGGTCACGCACGGCTAGTTCCGAGCATGTCTGTCCGTCTCCACGGCTAGTTTCTAACAGTTACCTATTCTTGGGTCGCGAATATCTCGTCCCGAAAATAGGGATCAATGGCCAAGCGTTGGGGGCATTATAAAACCCTCTCCCTTGAGAGGTTCAGATATTTAATATTCAATCTAATAATCACCCTAAGAAACACTTACTTTGTACTTACCTTCTCATCTCTCGATTCTTTAGCATCAGAATGTCTTGCAGGTACACCCCCTCCTCCTTGATTTCAGCATCGCATACGAAGTCTCTGCCCCACTTCAGATTCTGATCAACCGTCAAGATCAGTAGCGCTGATTGTGGAGATTTTTGTTTTCCCCGTAAACCAAAGACCAAAGTAGCTTTTCAAGATTTCGATCATAGTCAACCGTGACAACGTCCATGATGCTCGCAACACCTTTATTCCCCCCGTCAGCAAGATAGACAACGACGGGGTGAACCCCATTCTTGGAGACAATGTTCCTCAGCTAAGGGACGGAGTCACCGCATCTCTTTTCCCGGACCACGACAACAACGCAGAGGTCCTACACTCAGCGGATCACTAACCTGTCCCAGTTCTTCCTAACGTCGACCCGACCACGGCAACTCTAGTCGAAGCCTTCAACAAGACGAACCTTCTGATCCTCCAGCAGAACACAAGAATTAGAGCATTGGAAGAAGTTCGTCATCCAATATCTCCTCCACCAAGGCGCGAGCACCAGAGGTCCCGAAACCCTTCTCCTCGACGCAGGAGGAATCGCCAGATCCCAGCAGAACCAGAACCCCAACCACTCAAGAAACGTGACCACATTCCTCCTTGGAGCCAACACTCCCTATGGGTCAAAAGAGCAAGAAAAGACCTGCGGGCAGAGGACCGACGTTCACCTTCACCTAGACCTAAGGGTCAGTCACGAACTCCTTATCCCCATCGAGATCGCGGTCCTCGCCCCAGCCGAGACACCCACTAACATTCACGGTCGAGCCGTTATAGTGACAACGAAGAGCCTCGAGACCCATTATCCCAGGAGATCATGGCTACTCGACTACCCAAGGGGCTGGAGAAACCTTCACACCTGGGCACTTGCGATGGCACAACAAATCCTGACGAGCACATCGAGAACATTGATGCCCTGCTCGACTACTGCGGTGTCTGAGGCGCCATCAAATGCAAGTTGTTCCCGACAACACTGAGGAATAGAGCAATGTCATGTTACAAAAGTCTCCCCTATGAATCCATCACCTCCTGGAGGCAGTTGGGGAGGGTGTTCTCCAGACATTTCACGGCCTCTCTCTGTCACCCAAAGACAAAATCCTCCCTCGAGACTATCATCCAAGGGAAGGACGAATCTCTTTGAGCTTACATCTAAAGATTCAACAAAGAAGTTGTTCAGGTCCCCACGATTGACGGCATGAAAAAATATTTTCTAGAACGCGGGCGTCGTCCTCGCAATGAATTTTAAAAGGTTTTTGGCATCGAAACCCCAAAAACACTGGATGCCCTCCTCCTCAAGGTTCAGGCATACATCCAGTATGAAGAAAGGGAAGTAGCCAACACTTCCCAGGACTCAAGGCACCAAGAGAACGCCAGGTCCGCGAAGCAAAACGAAGCTTTGACATCTCATCGGGGAGCCAAGAAAAGAAGGGACGACCGCCGCCAGGAATTTCGAGATCACCAAGAGCCATCTGGTTGGTTCCACGAATACACGTTGCCGGCCACCTCGCGCAAGAATATTTTCTCAAAGTGCGTGAATTTGGAGTTCCAGCAGTCAGGGGTCCGTTTCCTAAAGCAGATACCTGATAGGCCGAACAAAAATAAAACAAAGTACTGTCGATTCTACAAGAGCCATGACCACATGACGGACGAGTGCATCCATCTCAAGGATGCAATTGAGATTCTGATCAAAGACGGACATCTGAAGCAGTTTGCGAGGAAGAAAGATACTTCTCAACAGAAGGCCTGGGAATCAAAGAAGGTTGAGGAAGAAGTGCCATCCTCGGACGATGCCAACCTTCAGGTCACCATGAGCATCTCACAGCTAGAAGATTTTTATCTCCCTTCTTATTTCGCTACGCACATCCCCTGAGAAGCCTTCCCCTCCGCCATGGTCATATCGGGCGAAGGATTCAACAAGGTGACTATGGGGTCCGCAAAGAGGAAGTTTCAGCACCTCATCAACACAAGCTCGAGCCAAAGCTCTACCCTCAACAAGGTCCGGGGAGAATTAGTTCCCATCACCTTCTATCGCTAAGAACTCCTCAGCGGAGCCCTCAACTCCACAAGTTTCTTGGAGGTGTTTTTGATGGATTCACACAACTGATGAAAGATGTAACCCGGGAGATTTAATTTATGATCAGTTGTAAGAAACCTGAGAAATAACTAGTTATCCTAGAAAATTTGATCAGGACTTCCTTCTCGAGGAATTAAACAATCAATAAGAATTTTTAACAGTAGTTTTTGCTCCAGATGCATGTTCTTTACTTTCCCAAAGTCGCTTTTATTTTTTTAATTGAGCGTACTTAATTTCTTTATCATAAATTCCTTCATCCTTTCTGTTGTGAACTAACAATCCCTTATTTTCAGCCCCAATTAACTTAGCAACGTGGTTTTGAGTAATGGTAACTTTCAGACCCATTACAGTAGATTTAATTTCTTTACACTTGAACTCCTTTAAACTCATTTCAGTTCTGGTTTTTCCTTTCAATTTCATGTTGTTTGCTATAGCGATGGTGAAAGAATATTACAGTAGGTGAATTGACCGCTCATCCCTTTACCAATGCATCTTTGGACGAACAACGTTGGCCGAGTTAATAGTCGTGCCATCCACGGTGCACCTGAAGATGAAGTATTACACTTCTAAAGGGCTCGTTGTCGAGTATCATCACCACTTGACCGAAGACATCCAGTAGGCCTGTACTGCCCTGCAGCTCCGACGAGGTGAAACCACTGCCCTGCATCGACTTTATCGACCTCGACAGCCGTTTCTCCAAGGACGATTTGTGAGACCAGAAGAAGAAGGGGAAGGAGTCTCAACCAAGCTCGAGCATCCCCCCAACATCAACAAGCAGCAGCGAGCCTGCCCATCCTTTGCGGCCAATCCCCAGGGGAGAATTTGAGTTATTCCTCCTCGATGACAACCCTTACAAGGGAGTGAAGATTGGGACCTACCTCCCCGATCTTGCGAGGAAACAGCTGAAAGTCTGCCTCCAGGAAAATACTGACATGTTCGCGTGGAGCGCTTCAGAGATGCCTGGGATGGATCCAGAGGTGACCTGCCACCAGCTCACCATTGATCCCACTATAAGGGCAATAGCCCAACATAGCAGCAAGCAGTCCCAAAAAAAACTAAGGTTGTCGAGCAAGCTGTAAAAGACCTCCTAGAGGCAAACTTCATTTCGGAGCCTGCCTCTGGGAGAATGCTGACCTGTTCGCGTGGAGCGCTTCAGAGATTCTCGGGCTGGATCCAGAGGTGACCTGCCAACAGCTCACCATCGATCCCACTATAAGGGCAGTAGCCTAGCATAGCAGCAAGCAGTCCCCAGAAAAGTTCAAGGCTGTCGAGCAAGTTATAAAAGACCTCATATAGGAAAATTTCATTTCGAAAGTCAAGTACACTACTTGGCTGTCTAATGTTGTACTTGTAAAGAAATCAAATGGAAAATGGAGAATGCATATTGACTATACTGATTTTAATAGGGTCTGCCCTAAAGATGTTTATCCTCTCCCCAATATAGACAAATTAGTTGATAATTCTGTCGGTTTTAAATATTATCATTCATGGATGCATATTCGAGCTACAACCAAATACCCTTGGCCAAAAGCGATAAAAGGTACACAACTTTCATGACCGAATCGGGCAACTATTACTATAACGTAATACCCTTTCGGCTTGAAAAACGCTGGCGCTACCTGCCAAAGAATGATGGACATAGTCTTCTAAGGAGAAATCAGGGATATGCTTAAGGTTTATATGAATGACATGATCGTGAAATCCCACGACAAATCTGACCATACGCTCCATCTGAAGAAGGTTTTTGAACAGGCCAAGAAGTATAGGATGCGCTTCAATCCGGAGAAGTGCACGTTCGGGGTATGGGCAGGAAAATTCCTCGGTTTCTACCTGACAGAACGAGGAATCGAAGCCAAC